TATCCGAGTCCTCCACGCTGGCCACACCGCTCATTATATACTGCACATCAGTCGTGCCCTTCTCTGGTTGGCTGCTTATCTTCCTCGCATGCCATTGGATCGCAGAGAGACACAGGATTGGCTGCGGCCAGGTGATCCAACATGTCCGCGCTCTGATCCGACGCCACTGTAGAATACCCGAGCCCTGATAGGTAAAAGACCGGTACAACAGAACAGGCTTTATTGACCAATCAGAAGCCAGAGCCACGCATCAGGCGCCTTCCATCCGAGTCCGCCACGCTGGCCACGCCGCTCTTTATATACTACATCTCATCCATGTCCTTCTCTGGTTGGCTGCTTATCTTCCTCGCATGCCATTGGATCGCAGAGGGACACATAATTGGCTGAGGCCAGGTGGTCCAACATGTCTGCGCCCTAATCCGACGCCACACCACACCACACAATAAATGTTCGTTCGTAGGGCTTTACCTTTCTTCTCTGTGGCTAATTTCAATGCTTCGACGCGTCTCATGAGGGTACTTTCTGGTCACATTACTTTAACGCCAGACGCCTACACTGAGTTGACGTTGTATTCCTATTGTCTACCATTTTTTATCATTATTTGCTGCCACCACCCATATCATTCGATTCGTTTAACCTACTAATATAACCCGAGGTCAACTATCCTAGGTATCGCGTAAGCGTTCGATGTTTTTGTAATTTTAAAGTCACTTTTATCGTTGATATCACTTTCAAGAAAAAGGGTTTTTTTCTGACCGAAGACCTAGCTTCCGTTTACATTCCCTACTAGGAAGTTGCGCCAAGCGCTATCAAAACCCAGGTTCTTAAATATTTTATAAATTTAGTTGAAAAACGTGTTATTTCTATTTGCGTATCTATTATCTTGTTAAATAGCTGTTTTTTCCATATAATTTCGTGACAAATGCAAACATTTGAGTATACGAATGTGGCCCTAATACTAGGTGGAAAGAAGAACAAACTTCACGTTGCCTGGAATAATTCGTCGTCCTCTAAATGGTTGTATCTTCATGCTTTCAGCATGCAAAGATCCAGAGGCTGTCTGAAGACGAACGAAATACCTATTTGTCAAGTCTTTTTGCTGCACCTTACAACTGGAAGTTAGATCCTAACCACCCCTCAAAAGACGCAATCCGACGCGTCTTCTATTTTCGGGATTTCGATTCTGCCTTCAGCTTCATGGATGCTATTGCGAAAAAGGCAAAAGAAATGAAACACCATCCTGAATGGCTTAACGTCTACAACAAGGTACTCCCATTTTTCACTAGCCTTTATTCCACTGTACCACCATAAATGCTTTCTTGACAAGCCAAAAAATTACGGACCTAAGGACTTATAAACCGCCATTTGATGTTATTAGCAATTTGTTAGTTCAAAACGTTGAGTTCTGACTTACGTTCTCACTTTCATACCACAAACCAATTGCGGTTTTTCGCAAAATTATCAGATGAAGGCCAGAAATGCGTTTTGACATTGTTCTCCATTTAATTATTTTATAAATTCTACAACACGTTTTACTGTAAAAAAAAACTTTCTTCCAATTTATGCCATGGTTTCGAATTTACTTTTCATCGACAATTACACCAGTAATACCGCCAAATTGATCGTTCATTCATTCTTTGCCGCAATTAGGCTGGCCAAGGTCCACTCCCGCACACTAGTTTGTTGAGTCAGCTGCTTCGCCGCTTTTGTGATCCCTCATTGCCCCACTTGTAGGTTGACATCACTTTGACAACTCACGATGCAGGAGGTCTTTCGAAAAAGGACGTTGACCTGGCTTGCTTCATTTCTGACTGTGCTCACAGATTTGGTGCAAAGGAAAGCTAGTTTTCAGTGCCAAATTACTGAAACTCAGGGTCCTTTTTATCAAGACAGAGAGCTTGACTTCTTGTATTATCATATATCTGATTTGTAATAATGCAGTTTTACCCATCAAATCTTTTTTTTTCTCGCAAACCTACTTGTTTTTTTATTCCTTCGATCATATCGTCCTCAACACTTTAACCCAACGGGCCAAAATGTTGTGTTTAGTACGTCATCACGTACTCATCACCTTCGACAACAAGTATGTCAAATTAGGCGTAATTGGCTAGATGACCGCAATGTCGTATTTACTTGTGGTGTCCGGAATTGGGGTGTGTAGTAGGTTGAGTCGTATGGACTTAATAGGGTGTCATTTCCACTTTACGGGCCAGACCGGTATTCGCAGGTCGAAAGGTTTCTGCGGTCGTTATGACCAACAAGTTTGTAGTGAATCGTATTAATTCACGTCCAATAACCCGGTTGTAGCATTCTCCGCCACTCCAACCTCATTTCCACGCCGTCTCGATCGTTCTTGCCAAACCGTCTGCTCATGCACCCCCGTTCACCCGTTTGTACTTTTACAGATTCACCCAGACCGTATCGATCGATAACCTTATTCAGTCAGACGTTTGTATGTGCAGTGGCGCCACCAACGCAACTTCTTTCAGCTATCTGATAGACGGTTGTGTCCTCGCGGGTACTCAAATTGGCGTTATCGGGCCACATTAAACTTAGTGGTCCTGGCGTGGTGTAAGACTACGTGCCGGGGCCCGCAAAAAGTTTATCATCAGGTCTCCAAACCTAGACAATGTTCAGTCTTATAAGTTGAGCGCCTCCTGCTTTTGCATTCACGTGCTAACACATTGCGCAACAAGCAATTACCTGAGGTATTAACTTAACACTAGTAGGAATGTTGGGCATAGAAAATGCGGATTTAGCAGCAATTTGCCATCTTTGGGGGTAAGATTGTGTGAAATGGAAGTGTCATCAGTCCAATGAGGGCACACGAATTTGGATTCCAAGCTACATGGACAATAACTCGTCAATGGTCGATATTATTGAGGAAGTTGAGAAACAGCGCGAAACCCGGAACTGGCTTGTCCTTGGGAACCATGTGACCGGCACCTCGGACAGTCGAGAAAGTGAGGTTCGTCTGCTTGGCAGGGTGGGTGAAGGTCTTCGTGTAACCGCCGATTTGTCTGGTCCCATCCATTGAGTTGTAGAACCAGGCGTGACGTGGATGTGTCACCTTTAAATTAAATCAGATCTCTTTTGAATGCGTGTACTCGTATGTAACGAAGAAGCGTTAGTATTTGCCTGGTTGGCAGGACCAGTCGACTGTGAGTTGAACAATGCCGCTGATTAAGACATAGCTTGAGCTAAGGCTTTAATTTGTTTAAAGAGACGCAAAGTGAGGACGTTCAGCACACTTGAAGGTCCTAGTTCGCCGTAGAATGAGTCAAATTCTCGGATGGATCAGATAATCTGATTACCATTGAAGTATAAAAACAATCAGTGCAATGCTCGACCACAAGTTCTAAATATGAGCAAGGGACTTGCATTTAGCCCGAGGTCGTTGACAAACCATTCGTCTCCGATGGAGTTGCAGGCCATATCCACGTCTCCGTTGAAGATGTGCGTTCGAACCTACACATATGTCGGCAAAAATTACAAAACTCCAAGAGAGCCCTTTTGACCAAGCAATCCATTGTTTTGCTTCTCATTTGAATCACGCATCCCATTTAGCTAACATCTTGCAAAAGTTGGATATGTTTAATGATAGGTTGGAAAGGTTAAAATCTCTTTTGACTTTTATCGAAGGCAGATTAGAATATGTCGTCCTTAGTTCAAACCCTTGCCTCGTTGAAGAATTGCAGAATTACAAAGGCATTGAAAATCGTAAGCACGGTAAAGTAGCCAAAGGTCTTGGGATTTTATCCAATACTGAGTTCCAGCTGTCTTCTCATGAAGATCGTTCTGATATCCTCTGTTTCGTGTTCGAAATTAAGCAGATGAAATACGATCATTGCTGGTAGCCACTTTGACTGTTTCACAGGAAAGCTCACTAAACAGGCTCCGACGAAGAATAAGTGAGCAACTAAAATCGAGGATTCTCTCTTCTTAAAACGAACATGCCTTTAAAAAAAGCGTATCAAGGTCACACAACCACTTGAGCCTTGCGTCGTCAACCAAGTTTACAAGACAAAGCCTACATTCTTTTGCAGAAGCTCCATGTATTGTGGGCTCAGATCGTGATAGACACGAGTGTAGTTTGAGTAGACGTCTGCGTCGCATGCTGCCCATTCATGAACGATTTTTGGTATGTGAAGTGTCTCCCGAACTTCAGCTTGGTTGAGGTAATCTTCAACCGCTGAGTCATTGTTGCAGACTATGTCGAGTTTACTAAAACACCAAGACAAAAGAGGATGTCATCGAGCATTTAAAGCAATACAGCACGGCAAAATGTCTGTGTATTTCGAAATCGACGGCAGTTTCAACCGCTAGACATTCCATCAACTGTGTATTTTAAATAGGAGTCACAAGTATTCGGTGAACAAACAACAAGACGGACAAAACTGAACCAAAAGTTCGCTTCCAAAACTTTAAACTAGATACTGTTTGGCACACGGTAATATCTATAATTATCGAACCAAACGGCTTTTCGTCGCTTGTTTTTACGTTAATTCGGTTAATTTAAGACAAAAGAAAGTTCAGTCAGTGGGGCAGACTTACTTGCTCAATTTGACTGTGTCATCAAAAGTAGGAAGACGGAACAGGTTGCCTCTGTCTGCATGTTCGCGGGTAAAATTGGAAGACTGGCGTTTATTGGGATTAATGCGCATTGGGTGCATCCTGTAAGTGAAAGACTAGGTGTTGAGGACAGCACTGCACCCACTAACAAAAAACCAGTCATGATTTGGCGATGAGATTCAAAAACAGGGAAATTCGAGGCTGCGACCAATAAAACGAGCTACTTGGCTTCTCCAGCTATCTGCATGTCTGAAGTTTAGTGTACGTGAAATTGACCTGTGGTGCGTCGTGTTGATTCACGTCCAACTACCCGGTCGTCGCAGCCTCCCACACACGTCCTCCTTTTCACGGCGTACCCGTCAGTCACTGGGACCCCGTGCTCAGTGACCCCTCTGTATGTACGACCACCACCACCTGCTCTATCCATATGACCATTCAGCCGCCTATATTTCTACTAGTCCACTAAACTGTATCAGTCGTCACAACACAACTTGGTTGAGCTGCCTAGTAAACGGTCGTGCCTGCCTCCTCTGGAGACATTTCCTACCTTGGTTACTTCGTGTGGTAAAGGGCCGCAACAGACCTCTTTTGCAATCCCGGTTTGAATGCGTGCACACTCCCAATCGTTTCTCATGAACAGCACAAACTTGTAGACTGAAAAAAGTGGAACAAGTGTTGGGAAGGAAAGAGCAGTTGAACTAAACTGACCTCCTACGATGATGTCTGTGTCGTGAGTGCCGATTGTATCGAAAGATCCTTCTCCAGGGAACCACATCCTGACTTAAGGTCTGTTGAGAGTGTTGCTTGCTTGTGATGGTCCCACTGGGCGGAACACCTCCATCGCAAGGCGCATACAGGTTATACATGTTCAAACCGTAAAGAATAATATCACTTGCTTGGCGAACCTGTACACAAAACGGCAGAATGCAAGGCAGTTCCAAATAAGTAGCACAACGAAACCCAGCCAGCCAAATTAAGCCGAGATGTACAAGGCAAACGTGACTGCGGGGTAGTTTCGTTCGTGTTTACTCGCAGGAAAGAAATTCGGTTGCACTAATGCCGTGAGGCCTGTTGGTCAATAGCAACACTTATCAATGAAGTCAATGGGAAAGGATAACAAGAGTCTGTACGAGTGTTGTCAAACGACTTGTACTCAAGACAGTGTTTGCCTACGATTGCAAGTTGCACAATGACTGCTTTAATTCCCGAACAAGCTTTTTCGCTAATCCTATTCGACTGGAAAAGAAGTCACTTCGAGTCAGCCCGAATTTTTCCAATGCCCTGTGGGCCTAATATAACGTGCTATTTGTGTTAATGTTATTGCTAGGCGTACTTACCGCATCCTGGCATTTGGAATCGGGATTCAGTGTAAACAAGCAGCGATCTGCGGATTTGCCGCCACAACAGTACTTCATTAGGTCCTGCCAGAGACTAAAGGGTAATAATGCAAATATTTTCTAGTGACACGCCAACTGTACTTGCCAATTTACGCATGACTTAGACGCTGTGTGACAGGGCACATTTGTGAATGTACGACAGACGAGAACAATTGTTTTTGGAAGGCATTAGTACAAACAGTCAACTGTAGTAGACAAAGGATTCACCCACTCAAGGCTACGAGCTAGAAACCTTGGCGGGAAAAGAGCTTGAGTAAGTTTAAACAACAGGCCCATGATCATACCTGGCGTCAATCAGGGAATGGTAGTAGGCGAAGTAAATCAAGGAGTTATCATTTAACACGTAACTTGTCAGACCGTTGTCCACAGCAATGCCCTAAGGGAAACCAGAAAAGCAAGTAAATTGGCTGCTGGAACACTAGACAATTGCAAAGACTTCAAAAACAACGACCTTTAGCTCCATTTCAGGGTGTTTAACGACACGCTGAGCCAGGGTGGGGACGTATACTCCGCCATAACTCTCTCCGACTATGTAAAAGTCGCGGTTCTTGAATTCGGGGAACTTTTCGAAGAAGTGAACCAAGGCTGCGAAGTTGTTATCAGCGACCTGAATATGGAAAATCAGATAGGAGAGAGTAACTTAATTATTGAACGTCCTCGCGATCAACTACGGGAGGTTGCCTAGTAACCATGACATCCACGAAACCGTTCTCCGAAATGGTTGTGTATGGCACATTTTGGTTAATCTGAAGAATCTAGAATTAGGGTTTTGGAATGTCCCGTGTTTTTATCGTGGATCATTAGGGTGGTGTGGCACTTAACACAACATACTTGACGCTCTACTTACAAGCATACGCCTGCAAAGAATTTTAACAGTATCTAAGCTGGGCATATCTAGGTGGGTATCAACTAAAGTGTGTACGAAAGAGGTTTCTGAAGGTACCAAGGAAAAGGCAAGACCATTAGACACCCAAGAACTATGGCAACACGAGGCAATGTCTATATTCATGAACACTCACCTTGTCGTCGTCAGTCTTAACCACCCCATCACGAGCGAATGAAAACCCGACGCCGGCTGGGGCTTCCAAATAGAGCATATTTGCATGCTTGGAAAGAAAGGAAGGAAGGGAGTGAACTGAAATGCGCATTAAGTGGGGAACTTCGACCAGGATAGGCCTAATACCAATGACTGTAATATAACCGACAGCTTATGATGAGTTGCTAGCGGGTCGGGAGGAGAGTTTTGACTGTCATTGTTTATTTACTGCTTGGCAACATTTAAAATTGAAAATAATGGGTAAAATGGAAGGTGGAGTGTAACCGGCGTTCTCAGGAAGTTCAAAATCAGGGCTAGATGATTCCATTTTGCGAAAATTTTAAGCAATGGAACTCTACACTTAGTAAAGAGAACTTAAGGACTCCAGAATACAATTGAAACCATCCTCTTTAAACGTTTAATCATTTGGGTAGGGTGATTAATTAATCTTGATCGTGCGCATAGATAAAAAAATTCGAATAAACATACGGTTAGAATTGTCGTGAGTTTAGACTTAAACAATGTAATCAAACACAGGGTGTATTGACAGCCTTTAGCCGTCGTCTGACTCAGCCCAACCACACCTATGAACATAAACAATTTGATTTCGCTGCGAAAACCCTAACAATGCGTATAGACATTAGGTGGCTTAGTTATGGCAAGTAGAGGGCACTCAGATTATGCGTCTTTAAAGAAGTACAAAAATATGTTAGTCTCGAGGATGAGCCAAAAATCGTTTTGTTTTCAAAGCTGTAAAATCATCATTTCGTAATAGGAAAGTTCCATAGTTAATCAGGTGTTATTTGCGTTTTTAAACAGAAAATGAATATCCAGGACATAGAAAGGTCATAAAGCGTATAGGCCTTAGTGGTCAAGTCCACCAGCGTCTTTTCAAAGATTTAAAGTCAAGTCGGTTAAGGTGTCGTTAAACATTTTTTTTCGTAAAAAGCATCTGTGGCGTTGCGTTCATTCCCAGGCATTTGTGTGTGCCGGGGAAAATTGAGGTAATGAAGACTGGACCACTCAAACTTGCCAGTAATTATGACAGGATATTACTGGACGCATAATTTTCGCAAATCTAGCCAAAACACACCATGGTGTGATGAAGATCGTGCTAACTACTAACCTTTCTGTGTGGTTAATTTGAACGATATTTTGATCTGTAGAACGCCAAAAGGCAAAAAAGTACTCACCTGATTCCACGAAAATCTGTTGCGAACAAGACGATTGCCAGGACGACTCTAGGGAAAGAAAGTTTGCCTTATCATTCTAACAAAGAATATTTCCGAAAAAATGCATTCTTTCCATTTTCAGGGACTTACAAAATCGGAGACTAGATCGGTGCGAAAATCGCTTCCTCTAACCGGTCCTCCCTAATACTTGCTGCTCTCATAAAGCAACCTAGTAGCTGCTAGAACAAAATTTTTGGCGGTTGTAATTTTGTTTGGGGTGCAGACCCATCGCGTTGTGCCTCCATCAAGTCAAATTCAAACAGAAATCACGATGACTGGCGATTTGTGCTCACATATTTGTACAAGTACATGCTCAGTTTCAGTTGTTAATGTTTAAATGTCGGCTTAAATTACAGTCTTGACTGAGACAAACAGGGACCGACTCGGGTTTCAACGATAAACGCATAAACCTACTTACAGATAAATTTGAATGCCCGTTTTTATGCAAACTGCATGTTAACATCAGTGTCGGACAATCTTCGGTGGACAAACTGTGCACAAATACTAAGGTGGCTGTGAATTCGTTCGCATTTAATGCAATGGCGAAGGCAAATATGCAGCACATAGAACTCACAAGGAAAGGACCGTTCTCCGTTAGCATTCCGAGAAGCGAGGAGCAACCAGGGCCGCCATTAAGCCAAAGCACTAGCGGGGCGGCGGAGGAATTTGTTTCTGCCTCAACAAACACGTAGTGGAGCTGAATGTTCTCCGTTTGGCCCTCCAGGTAGCCCGAGTATATCTCAAAGTCAAAAGGCCGAAGAAAACCAGGTAGGTAGTAAACACGATCGGCCTTCGGCCGGCCCCGTCCGCTCGCCAACGCCGACATCAGGCACAATAAGAGAATCGCAACCTCTCGCATCGTTGTGCTAAGCAAAAGACAAGAAAATCGGTAAGGGAAGCTCTAGGAAAGCCATCAACTGAGGCCAAATAATGAGCGCATCGTCACACAACAAGTGTTTATTCACAATAGTACACAATCTTGGGTGCTGAAACAAGAAGCGTGAGGCATTTCGCTGCGAGAGTGACGCTTAAAGGTGCGCTTATTTACCTGTGTGAAGCTGCACACGAAAGTTTGTCGTTGGGAGCGAAAAATTTAAGCTCTGTCAGACGGAAGAGCAAAAAAACTACCTGTCGAGACACGAGCTGGTATCGCCTTGTCTACTGGCCAGACGCTCTTCACGGTGTGTCCATGACTCGGTGTTTACCCGTGTTTACGCTAACCGTCCTCAGGTGTGATGACGGCGCTTCACGTCAGTGGTCCAAATGAATGCACGTGCGCCCTCTCACAGCACTGATCGCACTTTCTATTGGTTGACCTCTCACCATAAAAAGCTGAAGACCGTCTTTACTAATGACTGTACATCAAGCACAACATGCAAAACACACACTCCGCAAAAAGCTGAAGGGCCAAATTTGTAGCGTATCTGCAAACCACATTGAACAATTTATAACAGGCAAATACAGTACATAGTAAAAATATGTGGATGTATTCACAGACCACGCTGGAGCTAACGAAGATAAAGAAGACAGGAGAACGCAGACGCACAGCCGTCCACTAGATACTTCAACCAAGTTATCGGTGTCTCATATCAGTGGCCGTATTTATAGCCCAGTTGTGTGAAGTCGCGTGAGTCATTGATGTGTGAACAGAGAGACCTAGCGAGGTTTATCAGAGGCAAGAATTATCCAGGATAGACTTGGGTTTCTCCAGGGCTGACGGCATGCTGTGAAGAGGGGCCTGGGTGTCGGAGATTAAAGCGATCGAGTTAACTAGCGTGAATTAACACGGATGGAAACATAGATGAGTGGGTCTTTGACTTGAAAGTGAATGTAGTAGTTAGAAAATCGTAGATTTAAGGAAGTCCCGAGTGCTAGTACCAACCAAGTACACATTTTAAGTAGATTATGATTATTATGTCACGGTTTTTGCGTTTTATTCAATCTGGTTCGTCCAGTTTAGAAATTGCATCCTTTAAAATAAATGCTACGGACACATTGAAAGAACACGCTGAAAATGATAATACGCGCAAATTCAGTGCCTGCGTTAAATGTTTTCTTAGTGATCAAGGATTTGTTGAATTGCGCTAAACGCCACCCAGGAACACATTGGTTCGGTCGTAGTTGTTTCCTGCGTACCTGGCTTTAATGTTTATGTCCCAATTGTAGAAACCTGGGAATAAAAATTGAACTTAGAGACATTAGGTGTAAAACCTGATATCAAAAGGCTTGGATTTGTGGATTTGAAATGACCTACCTACTTGATCGCCCATTTTCCAAAGGTATTTTATAAAGACATTAATAAAACCATCTCGGAGTTAATTTGAACGCGTTGTTTTAAACTGGTTGCCATACCGTTTTTACGATGTGGAACAGAACCAAGCCTTGGTGGTTGATCGAACTGTTTAAGATCAGAGAAAACAGTTTAAAAATAAAACAAAATACCAAAGAAGTGCCTACAGGTCTAGTAAGAGATGTCTCCATTTGAAGAGTGATGGCGCTCGAGGTAATATTTGCTTGCTCCTTGTAATATTAAAGATTAAAACGTTGTAATGTGTAAATTCTGAGTGTTACGAGAGGTAAGACGTAAAATGTGAGAAGGGAAGACCATAAACACAAACACTGTACGTTGACTCAGCAACAAAAAAACGTAAAATTTTGACTGAGACAAGGTGAAATTTAAAAAGAGTGGAGAGTTAAACATAAATCAAGCAATCGGACTCGAGAACAGTTCAGTCATACCCTGTAAGGCTAGTTTACAACACATATGAGGTGGACATTCCAGTAGTCAACCTAACGCTTGACTGCTTCATTTCGAATTTATCTGAAACCAAGGCTGGTGATGCTGGATGCCCAAATGAAGAAGCCGACATACCGCAAATGTTTGTCCTAAGAGTGTCTTTGAGCGCTAAAATTCGCAAATTTAATTCTGAAGTGAGATTACAGGTTCGAGCCCGACTCTGCTTGCGAAGATATACAAATTGGGGCAATGTTCTGGGAAAGGATTTTCCAAAAGGTAACAATTAAGCTACAAAATTTACACCAACCTCCGAATTATTAGTACAATCAGCTCTTGTGTTTGAGACAGGCAGCAAACTGCATAAAGCTATCGGCCGTGACGCTGTGTCCAAAACCTCAGTCAACAGATCTTGAATTATCATTCTAGATCTTTTTGCCTGCATATCTTACCTGCGTCGCAAAAAAATTACAAAATAGGAACCAGTAAGTCAATTTGGAACAAAAATTGTTTTACTTTACATGTGCCAAGTAAAACATAGATTCAAAATTGGGATAATATAAGAAAATCTGGGATTTGGGCGCGATGGCTTAGCACTAAGGGAACCCCTGACGATAAACGCTTATTGGAGGAGATTACTTTGAGAAATAAACCGGAAATTGTTGTTTTAAGCATATTCATAAAAGAGGAACTCTACTCCTTTGACGTGTTGAATTTTTGCCGCTTAGACTCTAACATAATATTTAACCGCTAAGGTTTTGCTCGCATTTGTAAAACCGTTAATTTTTACCCACATTAATAATTTTAACTCAAATCTTCACCACATGACTAAGATTTAAAATGAAGGGAGCAGGTAGGTCACGGATGCAGTGATGCTTACCACAGCATGGATATTTACCTCGTTCATTTTTAAATAAAACTGCATGTCCAAAATGGTGGAGAAATTGGTTTGACCAATTAGAAAGCACATAGATATCCTGTTTCCGCAAGAGAACTAGAGAATAGAGCTCGCATCTCCTGGATTTCTCTTTTTGAAGACCATTGTACTAATAAACATAAGTAGCTGTATATGTTCTAAAACAAGCGTAAATGCCTTTCATAATCTACATGATTGGAACCGGGCGGTCAGTAAGTAGAGTGGAAAAGACACCACTGGGATTTGAAATCAGGACCAAAAGTGCAAAAGACATGATCGGCTCAACCAAAATTCCAAGTCGTTCTGGTAGCCTTGATCCATCCAAACAACATTGAGCGGAAACAAATTTTCGCGCAGTATATTTTGCTGAACGCAAAAACTGAAATGTCTTCTTTTTTCAAAATCAAGTGCAAAGTTGTATGGTCATTGTGCTCACGCAATGTTTAAAATGTCTGGCACAGGAAGCAAACGAAAGGGGCTGTTTTAAATCAGATAAGCTCGCACGTTGTCATAAAATGATGCTTGCATCGTAGATATTGTAGAGGAGGCGCTTCAAGCAATTGTTACCGCCCAATTTATAAGGCCTGTTTTATGAATTCAAACATCTTTGTGTAGGAGAAAGTCGAGGACAATACAACCTTTCCGTAGGTAGCTTTAGTTTGTAAGAAAACAGTGCTGAGTGAAAAGGAGACATTGTGGCCGCGTTTTGCATACACTGACTGCATCCTCCTACAGTTTCACCTGACATTCAAACCTGTGTTTTGATTAGCGGCTTTTGCTCGTTTATTGAACGCTTATAAGTAGATATGCTTCATTTCAGTGGGATTTTCGCCTCCCAGATCTGGGTGAGGTCAGATACGCACATGCCACTAGAAACTGCTGTCACTGATTCATCCGGCTTTAAACATAGTTATTTACCTAAGAGAAGCACACCACGAGTCAAAATCTGAACACGGAGGTTTGATGGTTAAAAGTACAGACCCAAAAGTAGCAGGAGAAAGACTAAGTTATTATAATATAAGAACAGATGGGTTACACGATTATGTGCAAGTTAAAGAAAAATGTGTAAATGCTAAACATGGAATTGCATTTTTTGCCAGTTTTGGTTATTTATTATTACTACCGAGAAATAGTAAGATTTTCAAAAAACCTCAGATTATATTCGTTTTGAAGAAAAAGAAGACACTTTGGACCCAAGTAGTCTATAGTTTAAACTAAATGCGAAAAATGGTGTCGAAATATAGTTTGTAGAAGATTTAAACGACGATTTTGCCACCATTTTGGCACTTTTTATTCATTCTAGTTATACAAATTCCCATATGAAAGCACTTAACTAAAACCGAACCCCACTTTAGCGAAACGAGAGGCACATATGCTGCTCGATATTTCAAAATTTATCGAGTCTACACTTCCTTGGATAATTTAACTGCCGTACTAATTCGGAGACAGAAATGTTAAAAATGGCAATTCATTAAAACTCAAATGATCCAGTCTGAATTTAGACAAATTACGACAGGTAACTTCACACCGTGGCTGAGGACGATATACTCAGGTAACAGGAGAACTCATTAGAGGCGTGAAAAGGTCTTTGTGATTTTGCGTGAATTGAAATTTAAAGAGCTGTTTTCCTCGTGGAAAATTAACTCCGTCAGCATAGGTGTTGACATGTAATTATGTCATTACTACCGTCTGCCTCACGCAGTGACATATAGAGGCGGTAAATAAAAGTCTACGAAAAGACAACTCCAGCAATGAAGAATGCAAGGAAGATTAACGAAATTAGATAGGTTGTGTGAAAACAGGTATGGTAGGGCACAAGTTTAAGCCTTCATTTCTGACGCGTCATCCCGCCTGACATCCAAGTGCCCGTTTACTCTGTAAAATGCAGACAAAAGTCAAAACTACTTGGCATAAACTAGTTGTGGGTGGCTAATGCCACATTTTTGTTTGCTAACACAACTCACGCCCAGGTGACCAATACAGAAATTGCATGTGTATGTAACACTTTTGCAAAACAAGACAAGACCTCGTGTAGAGGGCTTTTACTGTCGCAGCCAAAAGTCGAGCACACGTGTAGAAGCTCCCTCTTACATATCTCCGTGCAATCTTAGTTTAGAGCCATCAGCGTGAACATACATATATCGCGTGACTGTGGTATTGTCTCTGAGATATCGCGCGTGCGAAATGAGCCGAGTTGATGGAAAAATCGTCAATCCTGGTGTCACGTTGTCTTGGAAAATGTTGAAATCTCCAACACTACACGTTTGAGGAATCTCAAGACCCGTAAATAGCACTTGTGCCCACATTAATACTCTGTATTTCAATGGTTGTACGTACTTACTTGAATTTTTTCGACTCCATTGTAAGATTCGGACCCCCACTAGAGCTGCCGTGGTTCAATAAGAAAATAACCAAAACAATGATAAGAACAAAGATAACCGAGGTCCATCGTTTCTCCAAACGATAATGGCGCTGGTTAACACGCACTGGAGCATACAGGTGCACTTGTCTTGAAGTTGGTGAGAGTTGGTGTGAAAGGATCTTATGGACAGGAAGGCGCAGCATTTTTGTGTTTTCTTACCACGCAGCATTTCTTCCTTTAAAAGTGCAACTCGTGTTAGAAATACTTGTAAATGTGATTTCTACTCTGACATTCTTGCGCGACTTCCAGCTCAC